TCAGCAGACAGAGATTGACAAGCTGCTTGAATACGTTCCTTCATATTTCTTTGTAGTTGGGCGTTGTTTATAAACAATTTCTTTTATTCAACCCCACAAATGGAAGACAGTTCAAACATTTAATCTGAAAAATAAAGGATAATAAAAGGATTGAAATACATGTTAACGTATTAAAAATTTTTAAAAATTTTTCTCGTTTAATAGTTGAAATAATGAAAAAATGTTTATAATGAAAATTGTTTATTTTGAAGATACTTATTGAGTGATATCACATTCGATATATGTTTCTAATTAAAATTTTGAAGTTTTCTTCGGTTTCTATCACTTTCAATTTTTTTCGGAAAATCATAATAGCATCAATTGATTCTATGGGTAAGGTTTCCTAACAATTTTTTATTCATCTCCGTATGATACTCGGTTGCCGAATAAAAGAAATGGCAAGGGTGGTGTGATATACTCTGTATATCGATCTATCGACCGATGCGTTCATCTCTCTTGTGGCGCCATCCCACGAAATAAAGTTCAGATACACGATTTTCTGACGATTCGTGATTATATAATAATCTGGCTATTTGCGACTTTGAAATAGAAATCTCGATTTTAGAGGACACAGAGAGCAAAAGTAAAGACAGTTTTATTAAGTAATATAAACCCGAAGAATCGATTGAGACTACTCAGAAATGCATCGGTTTTGTAGTTACAGCGGAATACATAATCTTGCCTCCGCTCAACTAATGATTCGCGTAAGATAACACGGCCGTTCAGATCAGGGACGTAAACACTTGCGGGTCCTTCACGGGTCCCGTTTTTGCGCTTAAAACTCGGCGCTCAAAACACGGCCGTGTTTTTTTTATATCGAATCTAAATATAAAACGGTGTAAAAAGATTTTATGAATAAAGATATAACATTGTTAATAATGTTAGTGTTCCCGATAAGAAAATCCAATGGACGATTAAAATTCTAAAAATTAGGTAAGTGGGGTAACCATTTTTTAAAAAAGATACTGATGGCAAGATCAAAGTTCTTTTTATGAAAAAGCGGGTAACTAAATAAAAAAACGTCACCCCCTAAACCAATAATTGTAGCAATTTTTTTGTAATGGATGAATTGAACTGAAATTAAGATACATGCCAGAAAACGTTGGTTTGTAATACCAATCGAACACGATCAAGTTATTATTAATAATAATTGTGGCATTTCTGGCTGGGCCTAAATCCTGGCTCTGTAGAGTGACGAAAACCTGTTCGCGTCGCTGAAGTGTCTCTTAACAATGTGCCTCAGGGATGGAGTATTCCCCCGAGTTTGGAAAAGGGCAAAGTTGATCCTCATACCTAAACCGAGCGGAACACCGGACAGTCCGTTGGCGTATAGACCGATCTGCCTGCAGGACGAGGTCGGTAAGCTGTTCAAACGAATCGTAGCACCACCTCGTCCAGCACCTGTCCCTGGAGGATCCCGACGACAGTTTGGCTTTAAGGCCGAACGATCGACCACGGACGTAATATCATGCGTCCGTGGTTTTACGGAGAGTGTCGTGGAGAGACAGAGCGGAGTGTTGTTGGCGATATCTCTCGATATCGTCAACGCCTTTAAACCTGCCCTGTAGGGAGGTGGGAAGCAGAGGCGCTGGAATATCACTGAGTCCCCCTCTACCTCCGAAGAGTAATTCGGAACTACTTCAGGAACCGAGGCCTCGCCTGCGCCACAAAGTGCAGGGTCCTACAGGCCGAAGGACTGTCCATGCCGGTGTCCCGCAGAGGCCCGTGCTGGGAACCTTGCTATGGGATATGACGTTGTGCTCCGCACGTTTCTTCCTCCTGGCTATCACGTCATCTGCTACGCGGACGACACGCTAGTGATGGCCGAAGAAGGGAGGAATCCTGGGATAAAGCTCTCGTCCTAGGTGAGGTCGCAGTGATCTGCGTCATCCGGGCCATTGAGAGGTTGGGACTTAGAGTAGCGCCCCATAAAACGGAGGCTTTGTTCTTTTATAACGAAAAACATGGGGCGCCGTCTCTTGCCAGTTTTCTGATGGACGAGTCCCCTTCTAAGCGGGGGCTCAAATAAAATATCTGGGCTTCCTGCTGGATGGCCAGTGGAGGTTCGCTGCACATTTTGAGCGAACGGCCTAGGTTTCACGGGTCGGCAATGTTCTGGCCAGCCTTATGCGAAATCTTGGCAGTCCGAAATGCAGTATACGCCGTCTCTGCATCAACGTGGTGGCATCCGTTGCCCTGTACGGGTCGCCGGTGTGGTCCGGCACACTTCAGGCTTCTGGTCACAGCAAGCGGTTCCTGCGAGGAGCCATGCAGCCAGTGGTCCTGCGGGTCAGGCGATGTTATCGCACGGCAAGCATCTTGGGGGCGGCAATCCTGGCCGGACTCCCCCTCCGGAATTCCTCGTCGAACAATACGCTTGTACATATAAGAATCTAGCGAGGTTCCGGAATGAGGGGAAATAAGTCACAACCAGGGTCAGAATGGCGGCAAACCTCCGCGTTAAGTTCCGGACGTTGGTCCAGTGGACTACTTATCGATCCCCGGACTGTCTGGGGCTAGAACGGTGGAGGCCATCCGATCTTACCTGCCCGAAAAAGTGGACAGGAGAGGAAGGGAACTGATCTTCCGGCTGGTGCAGGTACTCACCGGGCACGGATGCTTCGGTAAGTTCCTGTGCCGAATAGACCGGAAGGTCACGACCACTACTGCGGCCAGGACCGGGATACGGCGCAACACACGCTGTAGCAATTGTCTATCGTGGGAAGAACAGCGCCGTATACTGATCACTAAGCTCAGGTGAGACCTCTCGCTTCCCGCTGTCGTACATAGAATGGTGAAGGGCGAAGAGGAATGGAGAGCCATGGCCTCTTTTTGCGAGGAGGTTATCTCGCAGAAGGAGGCGGCGGAACGGGTCCATCGGGGCCAACCTGACCCCGACGGGAATGACCTGATTCAGTGAGGTGGCGGAACACCGAGACGGGCGCGACGTCTGCGCCCGCTTCGCGTCCGCCTCAGAGGCGGGGAGGGAAGAGCGCTGGCCATAGCATGGGGAGGGGAGTAACCCCCTCTCCTTGTGAGCGACCAGGCGTTCCCCTTCCGCAATTCTTTCGAAGAAATCGCGGGTATGTGTAACGCATTCCTCTGCCTCCCAAAAAAAGGCGGGAACAGCCAAAACAATATCGTTCCCGTATTTGAAGTAAGAAGGCAATGACAGCGGTATCATCTGAATTACTCTTTCCTCAAGATCCTGCAAGACTATATCTGCAATAATCGGAGATAGATGAGAATCCGTCGGGCTACCAAACGATTGACATTTTGTACAAAACTTAGTGTCAAGAGAAATCGACGAGGAATCTTAGTAGATGCCCCGATGTATTTTTATTTTGCATTTTTAATTTGATTAGACAATACGACCACGGCACTCGACTAAGTGTAGAAGTGAGTAACGTTGATTGTTGCGGGGCATTATATCACTTCATCTTTGGAGGATGACACATCCTCATTGGACGGCTGGTATTTGGATTTTTTTTCGACTCATTATTTGTAAACTCCAGTTTCCGATGTTGCGAACTTTTGGAAAGTGCGTTCGTTGTAGTTGCGTTTTGACATCTCTTTTTTGTACTTAATATTGTTTTAAATTTGTTTTTGACCAGTGAGGAGGATCTATTTATGACCGAAACGCGTTTGGTGAATTTTTATTTGTCATTCTTTAGAAATAAATTTTTGTTACATTTTCTGGAGAATTATCACTAATCATATGATTAGTTTTATTCGGACACTACATCATCTCTGTGTGAACTCTTACAAAGTAAGAGCCTTTTTAATTATTGATATGTATCTTAAGAATTCTTTTATTATATTATGTCAAAAGTATATTTATATTAAGGTGAGGACCTTTAGTCCCCAAAAAATCTAACCTAATCCTATCCTACAACATTGTGAGAACGTTGGTTGCTAAATTGTATATGCATAAATGTACATTTTGTAACAACCAACATTGATACGATGCTATAGAGTAGGGTTAGGGGTAAATATTTACCTCTACACAGCCAGCTCCAAATGATTTGCAACTAACCTTGATGTTGACCTTGACCCTCAAAAAGGCCAATACTATTGACCTATATCGGCGCTCATTGTTGATTAAAAAGTTATCAACTAAAAAAGTTTTAGAAGTTGAACGTAATATTTACACACAATATATATATATATAGAAATACGAAAATATTTGCGCATCTTCTATAGTTTCCGAAATATTATATAAATATTTTATATAATATTTCTATAATATTTTTGAATACAATGAACACTGATAAAGGTCAATAGCATTGACCTCCTTGAAGATTAAGGTCAACATCAAGGTTATTCGGAAATCATTTGAAGCTGGCTGTGCAAAGGTAAACATTTATCGGGTTAGGTTACATTTTTAGCAGCATGTGGGAAGTTATCAAAGATATACTTTTTAATACTTTTTTTATAACACATTCATAAATTTCTAACTTTAACCAGTCATATTAATCACTAGGATTGACTAAAAATACATTAATCAAAAACCAAAACAAAAAACTATTTCACACTTTGAAGCTTGGTTATTCCGTAGGACCAGCCAATCCTAGGAGCGTTTGCGCTACGGGTTTTGACCATAATAGTAAAAATACACAGAATCTGCTAGCAGAATAGAATGACTAATATGGCTGGTCAAAGTTGATGTCACAATATTGACGCAAAAAGCGAGCGCAAAAAATCTGTTGTTCCGTAACCATTTAAATATATTTAAATGGAATATATTACAGATCCTTCTCGGTTTCGTCAGTTTATTGTCAAATTATATCAGCAGACTTTGTCGACACAACATAAGTTTAATGCGGATACAAATGACTATGGATTTATCACAGTATTCTAATCGAATTTATTATCAATATAATAGCGTATTATTAACAGTTTACTTATTGAAATGGCTATTACATATTATTAAGAAATTGCAATGAAGAGTATTTACTCACCGACGTCTGTTTCCGACAGTGTAACCGTCCTCGCAACGGCCGACATGACTTTCTCTGTAGGCATGATAGCTGCAAGATCCAGTTGTTCCGAAACTGTCTCTACTGTTGCTGTCATGATCTGTTCGAAGAACTGATATAAACGATCAAGATAGCTATTCCAATGACATAAATTAGCCTACCGTGATTTGTGATCGGGCCGTGTTGTGGAAGAAGAGACAGAAAGAAGAAGCACATACGGATACATAGACAATTGAAATAGTTTAAATGGCATGCTACCTCATTAACGGTAAGTTGTGTAATACATTGTGACAAAAAAAATTTTTCAACGTTTGTCTCATTATGACTCTAGATATTTTTCCGATAGAATTACAAAAATTATCAATGAGGCAAACATCAAATATGTTACATTAACACATAAGATATCGTTTCCGAATTTACTTGTTAAGAAACATACATGTGGCATATGAACTAAAACGCCGCCTACGGAATGCATTTCTGGCACTGGCATGTTGATAACTACATCTGGCTTCGAATCACTTTTCCTTGTTGTTTCCGGAGAACCTTTACGACCATGATCATCTGTGGTTTCGTCCACAATTGTCTGTAAGACGATATGTATAAAGTAAATATAATTATTTTTACCCATTGTACATTTATTTCCGATTATATAAGAATATTCTATTACCATAAATTTCCATAAGGTAAGAGTCCTAATTATGGGTTAATTAAGATTAACTTTCATTTTTTTACATAAATTTATCGATCTAACGTTAAAAAGCTCTCTCTCTTGCTCTCTCTCTCCCCACTCCCTCCCTCTCTCATTACTCCCCCCCCCTCTCTCTTTTTCTCTCTCTCTGTAGTAGAGAAGACGTGTGTCACATCGCTCCGTCGAAATACTAAGTTTTCAACGGTAAAAAATGAGAGAGGACGTATAAATAAGTGTTCAAGGTACACCGCCATAGACCAGAAATAACTATGAGGATTATCTAGCCGGGATATAGCGATCTGTGAATGTGAGTAGTGAATTTTATGTTTGAGCCATCGAAGTCGCGCAGAATAGGTAGACTTTATACGTGGACACAAAAGTGCTGACGTGTGAAAGTGGGGTGTATATCAGTTCGACACGGGGCAATTGGACACAGTCCAATCACAAGTCGCTGTTCCAAGGGACCCTACAAATGTCTCTAATCACACGGTGCTGTGATTGGCTGTGTCCAAATGCACCGTGTCCAAGTGCACCGCTCCCGTGAAAGTGGACTACAGGGTGCGGCGTCAAAATCCGGGCAAATTATACATTTTTTCCAAACATATTTTTTATCGCAAAAACGAAAAGGTTTAGAAAATTTGTTTAACCACATTGTTTGTAAGGCCATAAAGAACACATTTATTCAATATATCCCCCGCTTGCTTGAATGATCGCCTCCATTCTCGGTCTGAAGCGTGCGCAGGCGCGCTTTAATGTGTCACGGTCCATATCGGTGAATGCCGCTTCAATAGCGGCTCTCAATGATGCGACGTTTGAATGTCAGGACTTGTTCGTGGCCCTTTCAACTACGTTCCATACATAGAAGTCCAAAGGATTCAAATCTGGGCTGTTGGGAGGCCAGAATTCTTTCGACCAAAACATGTCGACGTTGTCCGACAACTAATTTTGCACCAAATGACTTGTGTGGGCGGGCGCATCGTCCTGCTGGAAAACATACAGCTTTCCAGACGACACAGTTTTCATCCACGGCTTCACTATATTTGTCAGAACATGCAAATAAACTTCTTTTGTCACATATTCTTCTTTGTTAAAGAAATGCGGTGGCATAACATCACCCTCACTGGATGATGTTGCAAAACCTTCGTTGGACTTCTCCGACTCATTGTATTTTGCGATGACATCATATACAGTCGATCTCGGGTACTCGAAGAACCGAATGATTTCTGTCGCCGAGCGCCCAGCGCAAATTTTTTATAATTGCAGCTCTTCGGTTATACTCCGCACTTGGTTTCAACATTGAGACTGTTTCGAGGTTATGATAGTTTAGTACATGCGTCAAGCTATTTGAACGCTAATCGCGACATCTACCAGTGGTATGGTACGGCGAGAATTTCAAATTGAATTTTATCCGGATTTTGGCGCCGCACCCTGTATATGTGACTTGTATATGTGATTTCTGACGCTGATAATAGCGGTTTTTCAGTCGGTAATTAACGGCATGTTCGATGAATATGTAGAATATCAATGCTCGGCATGTAAGAAGGCAATAAAGAACAAAGTCGTTAATCTTGTGTAAATCTTGTGTAAAGTTTTTTTACCATCCAGGATGTGTGAATAAGCATAAAATCCTCGATAGAAATAAATAATACGTGCCTTGCAAGGGTCCATATGAGGAATCCTTGGTTGAAAGTGAGCAAGAAATAAACATAAAAAAAACGCCGGTAACAGAAGGAAGAAATAGGGCATCATCTACAGGGTCTACAGGATCGCTTAGTGGAAATAAAGAGTCAAACATTGATGTAAAAGTAGACTGGATTATAAGAACTGTAAAAGAAATAAAAAATGAAACAGCTTATAAAAATGAAATTGAAATAATGATTAGAGAAGTAGTTCAAGAAGAATTGGGGATTGTTAAACGTGAACTGGAAAACTTGAAGAAGATGATGCAGGGAGTAGTATATGGTCTACAAGAAGAGGCACAAAGAAGTTACAGTAAAGCGGTTAAAGAGAAGAAGAAAAACAATGTTACAATTGTTAAATTAAACCGAAGATGCAATAAGAGAGTGAAGTTACTAAAAAAATTGATGAAAGAGAAGATGGATATTAAGAGTATGGCTATGGGAATAACGAAGTTAAAAAAAGGGAGCAAGGGAACAATGATCATGGGATGTAAAACCGGAGAGGAGGTAAAACAACTGAAGGAGACAGTTCAAGCTAACCTGGGAGAAAATTATAAAGTGATGGAGTCGCCTCAATCGAAACCAAAGATAAAAATTATATATAATTAATATAAGCTTAGAAGAGATGAATCTGGATGATAATGAACTTATAAATACGATAAAGAAGCAAAATAAAATGAATTCTATAAATATGAGGATTGTGAAGAGAATAATCAAAGAAAAGAGAAATAATCAATCAGAAAGAAGAGGAAATGAGGAAGGACCGATAATAATGGAAGTAGATGAGGAGACGCACGAGATGATATTGAAGATAGCAAAATTAAATGTAGGATGGAAGAAATGCCCTGTATTTAATCACATCAATGTTAAAAGATGTTTTAAATGTTATCATATAGCAAAAAATTGTACGCGAGAAGAAACGTGTTATAAATATGCAAGAAATCATAACTCGTGTGATTGTATAGCGACAAAGAAAAAATATGTGAATTGTATGTTCAAAATTCGAACATACAATCTGAAAATAAGTGACGAACATGACGCCCTTATCACGGAATGTCCGACTTTTAAGAGCGCGTTACAGGAGGAGAAGAGAAGAGCTGGCTGGGAGGATGCTAAATAGCAACTACAGGGAGAAGCGGAACTAATACTAAATACAAATGCGCAAAGCTTAATGGCACATAGAGATGATATAACATCAGATTATGAAGAGAATAAATCCTGCGTTCCTAGCATTATCGGAAACCAGATTGACCGAAGATATAGAAGATAGTGAAGATATAGAAGACAGTGAACGTGCCGGGTTATAGTATGATTAGGTGTAATGCTGAGAATAGAAATACAGGAGGAGTAGTTCTATATGTAAGGAACGATATTAAATACGAGATAATATTAGTGAAAAAATTAGAATCAAATTGTTGGTGTATGGTGATAGAAGTGAAAGAAAAATTATATAAAGGAGTGATAATGGTAATATATCACTCACCGAGTGCATCGCATGGGGATTTCATAAGATTTTTAGAGGATATAGTAGAGGAGCAAATAATAAAGGAAGAATGCATGATAATAGGATATTTTAATGTTGATCTTATGATGAACTCGTTTTATACAAAAAAATTACAAACGACAATGTTAAGCTTGGGTATGAAGCAGTATGTTAACGAACCGACAAGAATTACGAAGGACAGTCAGACAATTATAGATTTGACCTTCGTTAATAGTAATAAAATGATACAGGTAATTCATGTACCTAAAATTACGAACCACGCGTGGTTAAAAGTTGAGTTGAGTGTGAGTAAAATTGAAAATAAATATAGAGAATTTAGTGTTAGGAAATACAAAGAATTTGATGTCAATAAATTTGCTATATTAGTGAAAAATAAAATACAGGAAAACCAGGGGTATCAGTGTGGTTGTATGAATATCAATGAGAGAGCGAAAAAGCTTGTCGATAGTGGATGCGTTAGATGTAACGGCACCAAGGAAAAATTTTAGAATTCCGAAAATATGGGAAGGGAAAAAATGATTCTCAGATGAAATAAGAGAGGCTGCGCGTAGAAGAGATAAGGCATATAAAAGGGCACTGTATGACGGTACCGAACAAAATTGGGTGCAATATAAAATTGAAAGAAACGCAGTAGTAAAAACAATCAGGGAGAAGAAGAAAGAATACTATGAAAATATGATAGGTTTTAATAAAGAAAATCCTATGACTAGATGGAAAACCTTGAAAGAAATAATTAGAGGCGAGCCAGTAGGTATAAAGAAAATAAGAAGTATAGATTTTGAGATTTTAGGCGATATTGAAGAGTGCAATATAACTGATAAATTTAATTTATATTACATACAAAGTGTTAATAGTATAGTAAACTCTATCAAAGTTAATAGATCCGGCAATGATTTATTCAATATACTGGATGAATATAAATAAAAAAATTATTTATATTATCGAAAATCAAGGAATTATGGAAAACTTTGAGAGTATCAAGCTAGAACAATTAGAGAAAATTGTTATGGGATTGCCAAATAAAAAAGGTACGGATGAGGGGATAACTAGTGATATATTGAAGACAGTTTTTCCTATAATAAAAGAGGAATTTGTGAATATAATAAATAATTCTTTGAGGGTAGGTCGAGAAAGTTGGAAAACCTCTACGATAATACCGATTCCAAAGATAGATAAAGCGAAAAGAGCGAGCGAATATAGATCTATTAATATGCTACCAATATTTGAGAAAGTGTTAGAATTAGTAGTAAAAGAACAACTTGAAATATATTTGGAATATAACGATATTATAACAGAACATCAGTTGGGATTTAGAAAATACTATTCGTGCAAAACAGCGATTCAAAACGTCATCGACGAATGGAAATTAATAGTAAGCGAAGGAAAAATAGTAGGAGTAATTTTCATGGATCTTAAGAGAGTGTTTGAAACAATAGACAGAGAAAGATTATTAGAAAAAATGTATCAGTATGGAATTAGAGGAGTGGCCCTAGAATTTAAATCATATTTAAATAATAGAAAACAGCAGGTGCGATTCAATCATACATGGTCTAAATTATTGACAACAGAATATGGAGTGCCACAAGGTTCTGTGCTGGGACCTTTGCTATTTATACTATATATAAGGTGTAGTAAAAAGAAATCCTTTATTTTTGCATGAAATTGAAGGCTTTATTTAGCATAGTTAAAATGATTCGATTTAGGTCAAATAT